ACTTGCCAGGTTTTGGGTACGACCTATAGTCTAGGTTTATTACTTTTTCATCCATGGATAAGGCAGTCATATCTCCTGAGATCTATAAATGAAGGGGCGGGTAATTAATTTCGATTTGAAAAAATATTTTTTATAGTGTATACAACCTAAAAAATTGTTCATAAACTACTTGACCTACTATAACATTAGATCATGTCAGCTATTGTAACTAAAATCGTTGAAAAATACACCCTCGTCCCAAAGATGAGGGACTCTGAACTTAGCCAATATACCTCAAAATTTCTTGAGAACCTTACCGATGATAGAAAGCGGAATCAAGCTTGACGACGTCTTCGGGATGGCTTTAAATTTAGCAGTAATCAGGTGAGCATATTGATACCCAACCAGAGAAGTGGGAAAATTAAAACTATAAATATTATCGAAGGTAATTGTAGACCTGAAGGGTCTTTGCTTTGCAATAGAATAGTTATAGCATCGCCCCCAAAAAATCCGGAAGAAGAAATTATCAGAGAGATAGCAAAACGAATCTTGCAAAATAGATATGGGTTTAGTGAGGATCAAGTAAATGCCTTATTCTCGATCCAGAAAAATGGAAGTAGCCACAGTGTAACTACCTCAGATAAAAACGTAAATATGTGCCTTGGCACTAGCCCCGCTATTGCGATTTCCAACAAACTCTTGAAAGGGATGGAGGAAGAAACTATTGGAGATATAGCACAACGGATTTTACGGGATAAACTTAGCGTTAGAGATATAAGAGCTGAAGCTTATGCCTTAGCCCTATCAGCAAAAAATGCCAATGCTGGTTCATCACGTCTTTCCTGTCTCAGAAGAGAATTAAGAAACCTTGGTGCTTTACCCGCAATAGTCGAGGCCACGAAATTTCCAGATATTACAGAAGATGCTAACAAAATCCAGAGGGATAATCAGAAAAAGGCTGAAGCTAATCGTATTGACTATCCGGATCATTTTACATTGGAGTCGGTTAAGGAAAGATTAGATGAGTATGATATTAAAACTTTACCCGATTGTCAAGCTCTCGCTGATGTTATAATAATGCTCTGTATTCGTCCCTCTGAGCTTACATCTTTACGTATTACAGATGCTGGCGTGATAGGCTATGCGAAGAATAGGGGACAACTAGATATTCCTCGAAAATTTAGATCTATGGAAAAGAATCAAGAAAGAGCTAAGGAATTGCTTACATGGATTCAGAATGCTATATCTTCTGGTCGAATGGGTAATCCAGGTAAGCCAGGAGTTAAATGGTTCAATAGATTCTTAAAAGACTATGGTTTAATTCCTAAATACTTACGTAAATTGGGAGCAGTTTATGGTGCAGTAGTACATGCTAAAAATCCAGCACATTTTATGACAATAGCTGGAGAATGTCTACGTCACAGCCCAGATAACCACACTTCTCCTGTACAAAATTACGTTGTTGTAAATTACAGAAAAAGAAATACCCCTCCTGAACAAGCAAGACCATTTCGGATCTATGATGAGAATTAATAACAGATTAGTAAAGAAACCTCTGAATGAAATAGTAGAGCACCTGAATGGGGTCACATCTATACCTAAAGATATTCAGAATTTTCGATTTGGATGTGTGTAACAAGGGGATGATTCAGTGATAGAATATTTTGTAAAAATAAATAAATGCAATAAATCATTCGAATATAAAGAAGAGCAACTGAAATATCAATTCTTACGTGAATTAACACCTGACAATCAGTTGGAAGTCAGAAGATGTGGATTGGAACTTTCATTAGACGAGCTAGTAGAGAAACTGAGTAAAATTGAGAATATCAGGAAAATCCATAGTATATGCACCTAAATTAATTATCCAAACATTAGTTGTTTTTTCCATTAAAGATATACATATAATATATATTCTTGAAAATGGCACAACTATTGCGGAGCAGGCCGTTAGACAGTTCTTCGAATCATGACCCAAAGGGTTTAAATATTTTTGATCTACCAGAATTGTTAGAACAGATCTTATATTTTTTAGAAATCGATCGATCCCTTTATCCTGCTTTATTTGTCAACCATCTTTGGTATCACTGCAGTGCTCCTATTCTATGGCATCGCATTGAATTTTTCAACGAAGATTATCAGAAGAGCTGGCGTGCCCTAAACATGTCCCGGGTTCTTACTTGGCGATTGATAAACTTTAAAAGAGTTATGCGTAGAAAAATAAAGCCACTCTATTGTTCAAAGATGGCATATCTCAGATTAGAAGGTTTAAAAATCTCAGATGCGTTAATCAGCGCAATTTTGTATTCATGCCCAAATATACGCTTTCTTATTCTTGATAAAAGTAAGGGTTTCTCTAACATACCAATTATAGAAATTGCAAGATATTGCCCAAAGCTATTACATCTGAGTCTTAATTCATGTATATGCCTCACTAATCGGTGTATCACTGAAATTACTCGCTCGTGCCCAAAACTTAGACATATTGAACTTGGTGATTGTTCGATTGGTAATAAAGCTGTCGAGGAGATAGCCCACAACTGTACTAATTTGAAATATCTTAGTTTGAAGGGATGTAAAGGGATTAGCAAAGAAGTAATGAAAAAACTCGATCCAAAAATTAAAATCGAACATCCTGATTTTTCAGATAATGAATGGTCTAATTCTGATCCACCTATTCTAATCCTTAGAGGTCCATCATTAGATAGAACAGATTTTATTCCTGTATTCAGTAATTATGTCGAAGCATCATCAAATTCAATTAATCTAGAACGAGATAATATATTAAATAGTCTTGCTCGGGTCATTGATCAAGGATTATATTGTTCGTGGCAAGGTCTTTAGAAAGATCGACCGTTTTGATTCTGGAACTTATTATGCTGAGGGTGACACTTCTGATTCCGATACCAATCCTGATACTAATACTGAACCCGAACCTAAATCTCAGCCTAAGAATTATAATCCTTTTGATGCCCAAATCGCAGAAATAGATTCGATGTTAGCAGAAATGTGATGCAATCCAACTTGTAATCAAAAAGACCTATAAAGCTATTATATCAGGACTTACTGATATCGGCAAAAATTTTCTTAATTACTCATCGTGATAGTAGATATAATGGAAACAGATTATTTTTTTTCGGCTAGAGATATTTCCGAATTGGCAATAATAAACCTCTGAATGAAATAATCGAACGTTTAAAAAATATTGAATTACCTCCTCCAGATAAAACTGTTTCAAACTCCAGATTACGCAAAAAAGGATTTCTTAGATCCATTGAATTTTTTTTATGCAAAAGTGATCAGCATGCAGAATCTCTGTTCCAAATTGGACACACACGTGATTTTTCACCTTACTGTTGATTCAAACATTTTATTTTTTGCCGAAGAAGCATACTTCCGCATCTAAAGTTACCCATATGCAATAAAGGCTAAAGAACACTCTTTTAGTTCATTTTTGCTTATATTCTAAGAAATCAGCCTCACGCATACTCTCACGTTCCTTCGAAATAATATACTTATTGCAAAGCAGGTCACCCTTTGGTAGTGTTATCTCATCTTCTCCGATCGGTCTCTTGGATTTTATGGAAGGTTTAGATATCACTTTTTCCAACATCATAGCATGGGATGGGGTCATTCCGATTAATCGTGTAGGACTGTTGTTCATATTATCAAAAATTACTTCAAGAATCATATTCCATAATGTAGAACGCTCTCCTGCTGGTAATTTAGATTCTATAGCATATATATTGAATTTTGTATATTATTTGTGCTAATCTTCGTTTTACTGCTTTAACCAATGCTAGACTTTCAAACTATAAAGATCAACAACCCAAATAGAAACATATATCATTGCATTCCCTGCGAAAAATGTCCAGTATCAATAATTTCGACCATGTGAAAGGGTTGTTGTGATCATTGTAAATTTATTTGATAGCATTCCAAACTTCTAAACTATTCTTTGATGTCAACAAACGTCCAGCTTTATCATAGCTATGGGTCAACAGATCGCACTGATGTACTTTGTTAGGAATAGATATCTTCTGGAATCCTGCTTCTGCTTTGCATTTTGATGGAAAGAGAAATACTTGATGGATGAACTGATGATTAAGCCAGGATTCAATGTCAGTGAGGCGAAATCTATAATCTTCTTTTCTGCGTGCATCTAACAATTTTTTGGCATTCGAATAAAATCCAGGTACATGATAACAAATTAGATGAAGAATGATTTTTAACTCCTCATCAGCGCTGATTATAATGGTAGGGATACTCATTGCCATTATCGTGAGATGCTATAATTTATATTATAAGTCAAGACTGTATTTTTGAGATGAATTTCCAAATCGATACTGCCTACTTACAACTGCTAGATACTAATCGAGAGTTATGTAAAGAAATAGACATAAACCACGAAAATGAGAAAAAATCTATAGTCTCGTCAAGGATCTTGTCACTCACCCCATATCTATTACGAATGTTATACCATTTCAGTACGTTACTCACTGCATCTATTTATGAATGTTTTATACATAATCAAAAACGTACCATTTCAGTATGCCATACATTCAGTACTTGCTCTGTATGTTTTATGCGGAAACAAAACTATTACATTTCAGTATGTTAACATTCTATACATATTTCGTATGGTTTATGCGGAAACAAAAACGTACCCTTTCAGTGTTAGCATGATTTTGTACTGCATAATAAGTATTTTAATTCGGATTTTGCTGACTTGGGACAACTGTCTCTAAAATTTTCACTTGTATTCTTTCTTAATTGTTTCATTTTTTCAACCCTCTTTTGTTGCATGTATAAAAAACAATCAGTTAAATGCAGTGCAAGGAGAAAAAAAGAAGAATGAAAACCGGTATAAAGAAAATTGCACATTGAAAAGAACAATAAGAGGTTAGTTAAGTTGATATAAAAGAACTAAAAACTTCATAACTACTTATTTCTGATAAAGTCTAATTGTGCCTTGGAACATTCAAACAACTTCGTCTGTCACATCAGTTCTTCAATACGAGCTTATTTACGTTATGTTCTTGGTCACCTCTCAACATTGCTTGTATTTCATGGTACTAGGCACTGGCGTCACTCTCATTTTAAAACATATATTAATAAGCAGAAGGTTTACCACGAAATCGTCCAAGAACTATCGTAGCATACGGAGATAGGTTTTTCTCATCCAGTAGCCATAGAAATCCATCTGATCCTAAAAAACAGCTCTTTGTACAATTATAAAAAGCATGGCAGGTTACGAGTTTGGTACTTATATCATTTGTTCTTGCTGAAATGGACAAGTGGAAAACGTCTACCAGGTTTGGCAACTTGTGAATATGTGCACGGCTTTATATCAATGTTTCACGTAACATCTGATCATTATCCATTATTTATGAAAGGATAATAATGGAAGAGCCAGGATCTTTGACCATTACCTCGTTGCGTTAGTCAGCTCATTATATGAATTTGTAGTAGTAGGAGCTAGAACTTTTGTTTGCAGTTCATATAATGTTGCTGCTGCCATAAATCTGAGGTCAATACTTTAAAAATTACAATAAAAATAAAATAATAACCCTAATACTAATATTTAATAATCACAAAAGAAAAAATAATTTAAACAAATTTTTTTTTTAAAATAAAATTATTGATATTTTTCTGTCATTATTATATTGTTATTTTTAACTTTTTATTTATTTCAAATTCTCATAAGGAAAATTTTTTGGAATTATTTCTGGCATGTCATTAATATATCCAACAAGCCATTCAAGTGCATCAACAAGACCTTTTTTTTTAATTAACAAGAGAATTTAGTAATAAAGAAAAGTGTAAATATTAATCAAAAATAATAAACTTACGAGGTCCTGGACGATTAAACATCTTTAATATTAATATAATATATAAATAAATATATATATATATATAAAATAAAAATAAAAATATATAAATATACACATGTATACATTTTATATTTTACCTGATTTCCATCAACCAATGCAATTTTTTTAGCATTATTGGCTAATTCGGGCCACCAATTTGAAGGCAACAAAGTTTTTTCATATTCTTTTTTTGTTTCGTCAAGATTTAAACCACATGGACAAATTATTAAAATTTCAGGTTTAGAATCAAGAATTTCTTGAGGAGGCACTCGGAATCTAACTTTTATCAATAATTAATTAAACAATTTATACATTTAAATAATAATATTTCTCATCTAATTTGAATTCTTAAAATAAAATAAACCATACGAAGGTGATGCTCCAGCTTGAGCAATTTCTTCATCTTTACAATCATTTATCACTTGGATTCCCTAAAAGATAATATATATTTATTATTCGTATATTATATTTATAAAAAATATTACTATTTTTAATTAATCGATTTATCATACACACATTACTCCAACGAATCAATTGAGGAGTCCAATGTCCACCAAGATAAATAGGATCACACCATTCAAAAAATGCCACTTTTACTGGTTCCAGTCCATTATTTTTTGACCTTGATGCTGCTTCTCTTGCAATTTTAATGCGTGATTGAAGTGATGAAATCACTTTATCTGATTTTTCTATTGCTCCAAGTGATAATCCCACCTTTCTAACTGATTCTACTACATCCTTGTATATTAAATATGTAAAGCTTTTTAAAAAATATAATTAAAAAATATAATTAAAAAAAAATATAATTAATTAATGATTACTTCAATTGACATTGGGCTCAATGTAACCACATCTGGAACTTTTTTTTAAAAAAAATTATTATTAATTTTAATTAGTTAATTAATATTAAATATATGTGATATATATGTAATACCAGGATCCATTTCTTTCGCTATCTTTTGGACAGTATTTAAATCGATTGAACAAACATTACAAAGGTCCTAAATAACATTTCTTTAATTAGCATCATAGAAACGTCAACAAATTAGAAAACCCCCAATTTACTTACTTGTGTGACTATTACATCTGGTTTCAGACTTTTCAATAAACCTTTATCTAATTCGTAAAGACTTTTCCCTTCTGCAAGAAGTTGTGATACTTGTACATCAACATCGGCAGATGTTGTAAATTTAGTTCTGGAAGATTTTTTTTATCCCATGAATTAATCAAATGTTATTATTATTAACAACATCAAAAACACCTGCACACATCCATATATATTTAAATCAATTATTTTGTTCATTACTTTTTTGGCACAATTAAAATTTATAATAATTACTTTGGAGCTGTTAAAATTGGTAAAGAAGTCACGTAACTAGGATAATCATCTTCATGACTTCTGCCAACAAGTTGAATCGAATTGTTGGTATCATCTGTTATTAAAGCAATTATTTCTGCTGCTGAAGGTAAAAGTGATATCACTTTTTTTGTTTGTAATGCCATTGAAGGAAAGAATTAATTGAAAATTTAAATTAGGTAATAATCAACACAAATTGAACCCAAAGTCGAAATATTTCATTTACATAGTAATGAATATGATATAGCAGTAAATTGAAAAAAAAACAATATGTTGGGAATTAAGGACACCGGTAAATCAAATATTCATGATAATCATGATTATTATTCAATACATTTGATATTATCATTGACATAACAAACAATTGCATCACCTAGGTAATAAATAGTAC